GCGACCGCTTCGCAGACCGCAGCCCCCCAGGGATGGTGAGGTCTAATCTGAGGCTGGGTTGTGCCTCGCTTCGCTGGACCCCTCAGCAGGCCTCGAAACTGGCAACCGTTTCGCAAATCGCATTTCCCCCAGGGATGGCGATGTCCAATGTGAATTTGCGGCGGGTACCCACTATGCTGTTCCCCCCAGCAGCCTTCGGGAGTGGCGACCGTTTCGCAGGTCGCAGCACCCCAGGGATGGCGAAGTCCAGTCCGAGTCTGCGGCGGGTGCCCACTCCGTCGGACCCCCCGCCAGCCCTCGAAAATGGCGACCGTCTCGCAGATCGCAGTCCTCCCCAAGGATGGCGAGGTCTAGTCTGGGTCTGCGGCGGGTGCCCACTATGCTGGTCCCCCCAGCGGCCTTCGAACGTGGCGGCGGTTCTTCGCAGATCGCAGCTCCCAGGGCATGGCAGATTCGCACCTCGCAGGCCCCACAGGCAGGCCACCGGGCGGAGACGGCGAGGCACGCATCGGAGGCAGGCGGGGAGGAGGAGGGAGGGAAGGAAGGACGGAGACCACAGGAGGAGGAGGAGGGGAGGAGGAGGAGGAGGAGGAGGAGGAGGAGGAGGAGGAGGAGGAGGAAATCCGTAGCCATTTTGGCTCATGCCTTTCCGTAGGCCCCCCGCTCCTGGACCTTGTCCCCAGCCGTACCCTGCGACCCCAGATTCACGGGGCAGCGCGGCGGGCGGGGGGGACTTGGGGGAGCGGGGCTTTGGGCTTATGGGCACAATGGCTGCGGGAGGGTGTGGCTTCTCACATCCACATGGGGCTGCAGAGGGTCGGTGTGCTAGGAGGGCGCGTGCACGGGAGTCCGCAGACAGGCTCGTGCGTCGGCTCTCGCAGCAGCTGGGCGACCTCAAGCAGCAGCATGACGTCCTTTGGGATTCTCTCGAGCTCTTCTTCGGCGATGCGGAGCTGGCCCAGCGCGTGTTCGCGGTCATTCCCGCCCTGGAGGCCCTGATTGCTGGCCGGTGGCCGGAGAGGGTTGATGCCCTTCGCCGGAATGTAGCCCTACATGCCGAGGCTGCAGAAATCAACGTATTGACGGCCACGCCGCAGCAGCTCCGCAAGGCCCAGCGCCGACGGCGCTTGGGGCCGCAAGCTGAGCAGCCGCAGCAGGTTTTGCGGGCAGATGCTGTGCCTTTCTCTCCTTCGACAGGATCTTGGGAGCAACTGCCGCACTTCCCCATGACCATCGAGCGTGGCGAGGGCTATCGATGCACATGTGGCACGGTGGCCTTCTCGAGCGTGGCGATTGGCGCGAGAGCGGTGCGCCGCCTGCCGCAGGGCGATGTCGGGTTCTGCTCTGGTCCTTCGGCCCCTGCGGCCGTCGGGGCACCCGACGCGGCGGTCGAGGCCTCTGGCGCCGACCCCAAGGGGGCGTGATCGGAGCCCTGGGGGCTTGGGAGCGTTTCCCGCGAGCCCTCGGTACTCAGTGAGGCTGGCGCGGTTGCCAGACAACAGGAATCGTCGCCTGTTTCTGAAAGCTAACGGCCGTCTTCGTGCGCGAGACCGAGGCGCTCGGCCTTTTGCTCGTATCTCTGGCGTTGGACCCCCGCAGGAGGCGGAATACCAGCTGCAGCGGCGTCGCTCGATGCTCTCTCTCTTTGAAGGTAGGTTGTTGTGATCGGACGCTGTTTACATTTTAGCTTCGGATTGTTGTTGCCGCATGGATTGGTTCACTGCTGAACGTGGCTTCCTGGTCTCAATCGAGTTATTGAATGTGGCTTATTGGCATTTGATTATCACCATCGCTTTGCTGCAACATTTCGTCGCTACATGTCTCTGGTTTCTTCACTGCTACATCCTGTCAATAACGCAGGCATCGATATCGTTTTCTGTTTGAGCACAGGCTGCTTCAAGGAAACACTTTTCATGAGGCGCACCTTCAGCCACCGGCCGCCCCACACCCTAAACAGCGATGTTTACATGTTTGGGCCCCTCTGGCTTGTGTAGCTGTTGAGGGTCTCTGACCTCTCCCTCCTCTTCCTCAGTAGAAATGCAATATCAGGCATGTCTGCACAGCCTGCGGATTTCTCGAGGGGAGGGGGGGGCGAAGGAAGCAGGAAACGGGGTTGGGACGACGACGCGTGCCGAGGCGGCGCTCCGAATCCAGCTCCTTGCGGCGCGCCCCAGGCCAGAGGCTCAGGGCAGACCGCGTTCAGATTTTTGTCCTTTTCTGCTCCTGGAGTGGACTTGGGACACAAGGGTGCAAACGTGCAAACGAGGAGGAGGAGGAGGAGGAGGAGGAGGAGGAGGTGGAGGAAGAGGAGGAGGAGGAGAGTGAGGAGAGGGAAGGAGGAGAGGATGAGGAGAGGGAGGAAGGAGGAGGAGCGAGGAGGAGGAGAGAGGAGGAGGGGGAGGAGGAGGAGGAGGAGGAACGAGGAGGAGGAGGAGGAGCGAGGAGGAGGAGGAGCGAGGGGGAGGAGGAGGAGGAGGAGGAGGAGGAGCGAGGAGGAGCGAGGAGGAGGAGCGAGGAGGAGGAGGAGGAGGGAAGGAAGGAAGGAAGGAAGGACGGAGACCACAGTGCCCGACCCAAAGCGAGAGCCCAACGCAGGAGGGTGGGGAAACGTCCAGACGGGAGGGTCGGCCCTGCGGCCCTTTTGCCGGCCCTCGGGACTGGTCTTAAGTCGGGCCTGTCCCTCTACAGGGGGTATACTCAAAAATAGTTTTTAAAATAACATGGGGAATCTGTTTTGGGCCTGTCCCTCTACAGGGGGTTATATTCAAAACTAGTTTAATAGATAATATGGGGAATATTTTTTGAGTATTTGTTTTGATCATTTTTGTTTATTATATCTATATACACACACTTTTTATTTAAAAAACAATATGTGAAGATCCCCCTGTAGGGGGGCGCGCCCGACTTAAGACGTTGGTAAAAACAACTCAGGATGAAAAGTTGGTCCCCGGGTCGGGACCTCGGGGGGCCGCGTCATGGAAAGATCTGACGGCGGGGGTCTGATTCGGGAAGCCCTGAGATCCTGGCGTTGCAGTTTTTTCACACCGGGCGCTGTCGCTCAAGTCCGGGCCCCGGGACCCGCGCAGATCGGTCCGGCTTGCAAAATGGCGCAGAAGACGGGGTCCGGGGCTCCAGGCATGATTCCTTGCAATGTTGATTTTGTCTGCAAGAGTTCAGGGGTGTGCAATGCACGATGGTTCTGCATTTCTGGAGCATCAATCTTGACATCACGGTATCGGTACTCCAGATTTCGTAATAAAAGGGAGGGGGTCTGGACCCTCCAAGACAAGCCATTTCAGACCCCCCCCCCGTGGGAGAACCCTCCAAAACATCGTCCCCAGACCCCCCCAGGCCCTCCAAGATAGCCTCGAAGAGACCCCCCCGAAATGAGACCCCCCTCACTTTATTACGAAATCTGGAGTATCTGGAGCGGCTTACTCCCAGACCCCCGACGTAATGAATTTTTTATTACGTCGACCCCCAGAGGTCCCGACCCTTTCCCCATGACCGGCTTTGCGTCCTGAGTCGTTTTCTGACGCTCCCGAGGCCCGGCGAGGGCCCCCGGAGGCCGAAAAGTAGGAAAAACCTCCCGTCGTGATTTTTCCATTATTCGAGGGGGTCTGGGCTTGGTGTTCGAGCCAGGCTGTGCACCGAATCGGTTTGCACCGCGCGAGCAAACAGGCGGACGGGCGAAGGCCCAGACATCCGACGCCTCTATGTTTTTTTTCGAGGCGCGGGCCGCCGGCCTCCCGGCCGCTTCCCTGGGGCCGGCTCTTCCTCCCGAGCCGTGTTTTGACGGTCCCGGGGCCCGGCGAGGGCCCCGAGGGGCTGAGAACTGCGAAACGTACCCCAGACCTCCCCGAGTAATGGAAACATCATGGCGGGAGGTTTTTCCTACTTTTCGGCCTCCGGGGGCCCTCACCGGGCCTCGGGAGCCTCAAAAAACGACTCAGGATGCAAAGCCGGTCATGGGGAAAGGGTCGACGTAATGAAATTATCCCGGCAAAGCAACCTAACAGCGATATGTAGAAGCATATCTGAAAGCATTCCCCTTAAGATTCAGATGAAAATCCAGTTGTAGAATTCTGCAGTTCTCGCAGTCGTAATCGCATTCGCGATGACAGTTGCAGCGGCAACGGCAGTCGCAGTCACAGCCTCAGCCTCAGCCTGCCTCAGCCTCAGCCTCAGCCCTGCGCTCAGGCCCAGCCTGCCTCAACCTCCGCCTCAACCTGCCTACACCTCAGCCTAGTCTGAGCCCTCAGCCTAGTCTGCTTCAGCCTCACTTCAGCCTCGGCCATCAGCCTCAGCACTGCCTGCCTCAGCCAGCCTGCATCAGCCTCAGAGCCTCAGCCTCAGCCTGCCTCAGCATCAGCCTGCTTCAGCCTCAGCCTCAGCCTGCCTCAGCCTCAGCCTCAGTCTGCTTCAGCCTCAGCCTCAGTCTGCCTTCAGCCTCGGCCTCAGCCTCAGCCTGCCTCAGCCTCAGCTTGCCTCGGCCGCAGCATCAGCTTGCCTCAGCATTCAAAATGTGGCCCAGGAATGGAGTTCTGGGAACTAGAAGAACACGAAGTGGCCTACAGTTGGCTCCAGGCATTCAAAATCATGCCCAGGAATGGAGTTCTGGGAACTTGAAGAGCACGAAGTGGCCTACAGTTGGCTCCGGGCATTCAAAATGTGGCCCGGGAATGGAGTTCTGGGAAATCGAAGAGCACGAAGTGGCCTACAGTTGGCTCCGGGCATCCAAAATGTGGCCCGGGAATGGAGTTCTGGGAACTCGAAGAGCACGAAGTGGCCTACAGTTGGCTCCGGGCATTCAAAATGTAGCCCGGGGGTCGAAGAGCACGAAGTGTGTGAGTGTTGACGAAAAACGAGCCTGGCTCTGTTCCCGGTTCTCCAGAATGTTGCCCGGGAATGGAGTTCTGGGAGGTCGAAGAGCACGAAGTGTGTGACTGTTGGCAAAAAGCGAGCCCGGCTCTGTTCCCGGTTCTCCAGAATGTGTCCCGGGAATGGAGTTCTGGGAGGTCGAAGAGCACGAAGTGTGTGACTGTTGGCGAAAAACGATTCCCGGTTCTCTTCCCCGGCACCCGCCCAGACCCCCCTGAGGAGTCATGTCTTTTGACCCCACTAGAAACCTATCAGCAAACGCGCTCCGGGCACTCAAAATATACCCCGGGAATGGAGTTCTGGGAGGTCGAAGAGCACGAAGTGTGTGACTGTTTACGAAAAACGAGCCCGGCTTTGTTCCCGGTTCTCCAGAATGTGTCCCGGGAATGGAGTTCTGGGAGGTCGAAGAGCACGAAGTGTGTGATTGTTGGCAAAAAGCGAGCCCGGCTCTGTTCCCGGTTCTCCAGAATGTGTCCCGGGAATGGAGTTCTGGGAGGTCGAAGAGCACGAAGTGTGTGACTGTTGGCAAAAAACGATTCCTGGTTCTCCTCCCCGGCACCCGCCCAGACCCCCCTGAGGAGTCATGATGCTTTCTTTTGACCCTACTAGAAACCTATCAGCAAACGCTGCTAGGTAAAAATTACCCCGGCAAAGCAACCTAACAGCGATATGTAGAAGCATATCTGAAAGCATTCCCCTTCAGATTCAGATGAAAATCCAGTTGTAGAATTTTGCTGTTCTCGCAGTCGTAGTCGCATTCGCGATGACAGTCGCAGCGGCAACGGCAGTCGCAGTCACAGCCTCAGCTCAGCCTGCCTCAGCCTCAGCCTCAGCCTGCCTCAGCCTCAGCCTGCCTCAGCCTCAGCCTCAGCCTGCTTCAGCCTCAGCCTCAGTCTGCCTTCAGCCTCGGCCTCAGCCTCAGCCTGCCTCAGCCTCAGCCTGCATCAGCCTCAGCCTCAGCCTCAGCCTGCCTCAGCATCAGCCTGCTTCAGCCTCAGCCTCAGCCTGCCTCAGCCTCAGCCTCAGTCTGCTTCAGCCTCAGCCTCAGTCTGCCTTCAGCCTCGGCCTCAGCCTCAGCCTGCCTCAGCCTCAGCCTGCCTCGGCCGCAGCATCAGCCTGCCTCAGCATTCAAAATGTGGCCCAGGAATGGAGTTCTGGGAACTAGAAGAACACGAAGTGGCCTACAGTTGGCTCCGGGCATTCAAAATCATGCCCAGGAATGGAGTTCTGGGAACTTGAAGAGCACGAAGTGGCCTACAGTTGGCTCCGGGCATCCAAAATGTGGCCCGGGAATGGAGTTCTGGGAAATCGAAGAGCACGAAGTGGCCTACAGTTGGCTCCGGGCATCCAAAATGTGGCCCGGGAATGGAGTTCTGGGAAGTCGAAGAGCACGAAGTGGCCTACAGTTGGTTCCGGGCATCCAAAATGTGGCCTGGGAATGGAGTTCTGGGAGGTCGAAGAGCACGAAGTGTGTGACTGTTGGCTTAAAACGACTTCTGCGGCACCCTGTCCGGCACCCGCCCAGACCCCCCTGTGGAGTCATCTGCTGCTCTTTTTTGAGACCACTAGAAACCTATCAGAACAAGCTGTTAGGTAATCATTACGTCGGGGGGCGGCGACTGTGGGTGTATCTGCGCCCCCTGGGGCCCAGCTGTGACCAGATCCACCGCCGGCGAGGCCCCTGGATGGCCCCCCCCCCCCTGGCGACGGTCATGGGTAGAAATTTTGCGCCTCGAGCCCCTGGCATTCGAGGAAGAGTGCACTGCACCTGGGGCAGGCTCGTGTCCTTGGGGGGGCCACACGCGAACCCTACCCCCTACCCCTCACGATCTCTGAGGGGGAGGGCCGGGCCCACTTCTTCTGGGAGCTCCCGAGCGCAGGGAACCCCGCCCTCCCCCCCAGAAATCGTGGGGGGTAGGGCCCAGACCCCCGACGTAATGATTTTTTCATTACGTCGACCCCCAGAGGTCCCGACCCTTTCACCATGACCGGCTTTGCATCCTGAGTCGTTTTCTGACGCTCCCGAGGCCCGGCGAGGGCCCCCGGAGGCCGAAAATTGTGAAAAACCTCCCGTCATGATTTTTTCATTACTCGAGGAGGTCTGGGTACGTTTCGCAGTTCTCAGCCCCTCGGGGCCCTCGCCGGGCCCCGGGACCGTCAAAACATGGCTCGGGAGGAAGAACCGGCCCCAGGGAAGG